TAACAGAGTTACCCCAAAGTGTTATGGAACAGATAAAATGAAGTGAACCAGGTTGTAGCAGGAAGAAGAGAAAGCATGTTACTTTTCAAAGAAAATATTAGCCTACTGATTATACAAATTAATAATCATTTAGTTGAAAAGGAAACAATTTCATCAACCTTCAACTTATTGTTGCAACATACTTTTATTTTCATTTGAAGATTTCAAAATAGTTAATAAAACTTACCTTGTATAGCATGCTATTATTGCATCTCATGCAACGAGGGATTATGTGGTCTCTTTAAACAAATTCATTTGTAAAATTTTAACATTCTGTATTCTACAGAGGAAGAGGAGAAAAACTATTTACTTTTAAGAACCTCATTTTAACACTTGCAGGATGAGCAAATGGCAATTTCTCCCTTACAGGCACCCTGCTTGCCTGAACTGTACAAGTATCTTATTTTAACATTAAAAATAATTCATATTATAGTAACATTTTGTTTTAATGGTATAGTATAGGACAGAGATGGCTCATCAATTTTAGTGAATTTTTCTTTTGCCACTATCAATCATTATAGTAAGATGCTATTATGTGTATACTGAAATAGAAGTAGGTAGATGCATAGATGAAATAAGGTTGGCTATGACTTGATAATGGCTGACACTGGGTCATGGAATATTTCAGTTTGTTGTACTATTTTCTCTTTGTATAAAAGAAATATGCTTAGTAACAATTACACACTCACACACACAAAGTAGTGTTGGAGCCACAGGCAACAGGGAAGGTGTTAGGTGCCAGCAAAGAAATAAGGAACTAGTCTCTGTCATGGACAAAGGATAGGCTAACTGACTGCAGAACAGAACCTTGAGCCAAGTAGGAAAAAACGGGGTAATAAGAAATGAGCCCCGGGCCAGTGATTTAGCTTAGTGGCTCTGGCACCTGCCTTGAAAGTGCAAGGTCCCGAGTTCAATCCCCAATACCAAAAAACCAAAAATCAATAAAAAAAGAAATCAGCCCAGAGGCCACGCCTTGGTCAGGTACAGGGAGGAGACAGAAGTATGCTAGGACTTGACCCATTTTCACTTCTTTTCCATGTAGGTTTTGCCGCCTTATTCCTGGAAGTCTACAGTAAACAAGGTAGTTTAGTTTATGAGGTGTCTGGTCAGTTATGTTCCAAAGTAAATCCCACAGCTTGGCAGCTCCCACCCTGCCAACCAGTATCAGACATAAGACAGAAAAGAATTGGCTACTGCCAGTCAGGAGGGCTAAAGATTAATCCTCTAGGACATATTTTTCCATACTTTCTTCCTGAATGTCAACCATCACCACCTTCAACTTCATAAGATTCTTTCATTTACCCGCCTTCCATAGGTGGTTATACCAACTAGTTGCTTATTTTTCCTTTATATCCACTACGATTTCTGAATGGGAGAAGAGTGCCTGTTATTTATGCTTACATCTTTTCAAAATTATATGTATAATTACTTGAGCTATATCTTATAATGAGGAAAATAAGTAACAATAGGACTAATTTTATGTGTCTTGTGAGAATTATTCTCACTTCTTTAACAATTTATTTTAGTTTTATAGTATAAAAATATACTTTAAACCTACAAAATCAGGCTGAGGGTGTAACTCAGTGGTAGAGCACTCGCCTAGCATATGAGGCCCTGGGTCCAATCCCCTACACTGAAAAACAAAACAAAACAAAACAAAAGTTACAAAATCTATTGCATTTCCCTTATAGACAGGGTCAATGTCGCTAGCAGTTTCCGGAATCTGGGATGATTTAATTTTTGTTGCATTCTTAGTCATTGGCCATATAATAACTATTTACTCAGTGGCATATTTAGTTACTGAACATTCCTTCCTCCCCTCTCAATTCCTACAACGTGTCTGTGTAAGTCTCTCACTGTAATTAAGGACCACACTAAGCACTAAGAATACTAATGTGCCCCTATGGGAAGCACTTTGACAGAAATTTACTACAGAGTATAGAATGTACCCTAGAAGATTCTTAGACCTAAACATTTTGACCAAGACCAGATAAATCCTTTGGTT